AACGATGGACCACATATATGACGGTGGTCCTATAAGATAGTACCATATAGCCTAGGTGTGTAGTAGGCTATACCATCTAGGTTTGTGTAAGTACACTCTGATGTTCACACAATAACAGATTTCTCAGAATGTATCCCTGTCATTAAGCAACACATGACTGTGTATGAAATGTCCAGATAGGCTAATCCATAGAGACAGAATGTAGATTAGTGGTTGCCAGGGGCTGGGGGGAGTGACTACTAATGGAATTTCTTTTGGGCATTCTGGAATTAAATAGTCATGTTGGATACACAACTCTGTAAAAAAAAAAAAATATGTATATGTATATATGTGTGTATATATATATATATATATATATAGTCAATAATGCTGTTATTAAAAAAAGATCACATTGTAAAAAAAAGTCATTGCTGGCTGATGGGGGGAGGACATTGTAATCTCTGAGGTGCTCAAAGGCAACTTAGCCTCTGCTTTCCAGGTGAATTAAGATAAGACATGGTGAATGGTCAATTACTTTGATTTTTGACTTTTCTTTCTGTCCTACATAAGTAATAAGAGCTATAAATTTGCCTCCAAGAACTTCTTTAGCTGCATCCCACAAATGTCAATATGTTGTATTTTCCTGCAGAGGGGGCAGGTGATCAATAATCAGTGGAGTGAGTATGCAGAGGGAGTGGGGGCTACAGAGAGAGTGGTGGCTCAGTGGGAACCCTCTAAGTCACAGGAAAGCCACATAGGAAGTGACAGCTTGGCAGCAACCTTTTAAACTGCAGGTGAGGTACCCTAGTGCCTGTGGGAGTCCAGGTGCTGATGTGGGCCCAAGGACTTCAGGTTGCCAGTTTCCACGTAGAGAGGGTCCTGGGAGGGTTAGCACCAGGCCAGGCTGAGCTTGCAAGTTCTTCAAGGGCCCTCACGTTCTGGATGGGCAGCTGGGGCTAAGGTCCACCATATGTCCTCATCCTCACACCCCTGACCCACTGAGCAACAGCCAGAAACCACAGGGAAGCCTCTTTCTCCTTCAGTACCCTTCAGCATCCTGTACTGAAAAATTTAGTATGTTGCTTATGTAAATGAGAAATGTTTAAAAGAATGCTGTCTATTATTGCAGATCATATATTGAAGGATGAATTTGGAGCTGAGAAGTAATAATTGATAATCGTCTCGTGTCCCGATTTCCTATGCTATAATTGTCATGTTTCACATCTACATATAAGAAAATATTATATATTTTTTATTTATAGCTGTCATTTGTATTTTAAAGAATTAAGGGGAAAATAATCTTTTATATTTACCCATTTATACTTACCATTTTTAATGCCCTTCATTTCTTCCTGGAGATTCAAATTTCCCACCAGTATCATTTCCACTAAACATAGCATTTCTTATACTACAGCTCTGTTGGTTACAGAGTTTCTTAATTGTATTTTTTGTTTGAAAATATCTATTTCACTTTCATTTTTTCATGCTTGAAGGATTTTTACTGGATATAGAATGCTGGGTTGACATTTCTATTCTTTCCCATTTCTCCTTCTGGACTCTGATTACACTTAGGGTAGACCTTTTTGTATTGTCCCAAATGTCCCTGAGATTCTGTTCATTCCTCAGATTGTATAAATTCTATTGACCTATATTCAAGTATATGGACTCTTTCCTCAGTCATCTTCACTCTGCTCCTAAGCTCATCCACCTTGAATTTTTTATTTCATATATTCTTGAATCTCTATTTGGTTCTTTTTAATAATTTCTCTGTCTCTACTGGTAATTTGTATCTTTTTGGTCAGGACTAGCATTAAGCACAGTTCTAATATATCTTAAAATCCTTTTTGGTAAGTCACACCACAGAATCAGGGCTGCTGCTGCTGCTGCCATGATTAGGGCAGCACAGAAAGAGGAGTTTCCAAAGCTGCTGGCCCCAGAACTGCAGCACTGTCATCATCCAGCATCTTCCGAATCAGGAAGACTCCTCCACCATAGCTATTCCGGAATTCTGCTACATCTCCTGCAAACTGTATCATCATTCAGAAGGGATGCCCTGCAGCCAGGCTTTCACCCCAAGTAACTCTGACTAGTCTTTCATAAGATCACCTGACTAGGAAAATTTAAATTATATCCAGAACTCTCTCTGCAAGAGAGTTTTAGAAATACAGTTTTAGCCTGTTTAGCACAGGAAGCATGCTCGAACAATGTTTGAATGGATATCCCACAGTCTATGTGCTATGGACTACCCATCTGATTATTCAGCATTCATATACTGCCTTTTTCCCTCATTCAGACTTCCCCAAAATATGAATAGCAACAACAATGTGATCTGCAAACATAGTGCACCAATGCTCTGTAGAAACAAAACTCTATAGACCTCTTCTCAAAGGGAAAGATTCAAACTCTCAGTCATTTCACATGATGTGATTTCATGTGATCATGTGATGATCATGCCTGTGCTAGTTCAGTCATAATTCTAGTTTGATACTTTGTAATTTAGGGACTAAGTTTAGGGACTAAATTATGAAGTAAACCAGTGCCAAAATATATCCTACACACACACACACACACACACACACACACACACACACACACACACACACACACACACACACCAAGGAAGAAAAACGTAACCCTTCCTGACGTTCAGTTCTGCAACTGGTTTCAAGTCCATAATTGTACTGATATACACACACACACACACACACACACACACACACACACACACCCACACCAAGGAAGAAAAACGTAACCCTTCCTGACGTTCAGTTCTGCAACTGGTTTCAAGTCCATAATTGTACTGATATCTTCCTCTACTGCCAATCACATTCTCCCTTTGTTCTTACCCAGGACCTCAATTAGTTGGATTTACCCAAACTTTCGTCCCTGAAGGATCTGACCTTTTGGTGGTCCTGCCTTAAATAAGGTATAAAAAGTATTCTGCTGTCTCCTGCAAACGACTTCATTTTATCCTTATTGGGATAGTAAAAAAACTCCCCAACAAGTATCAAAACCTACCCAACAAGTATCAGGGCAGTGTTGATCCTGCCAGGAAAGGGACTCCATCTGGAATAGAAGCACTGTCTAATTAGAAACACCACCTGATTTAGTTGATGACCATTCACTGCCATTCTCTGGGACCCTTCTATCTTTTACACAGGTCAAATAGGCAAGTTTATCAGACATGTGGTAGGAATTTCCACCTTTGCATATTTCAAGACTTGAATGTGGCACAGAGCTCTGTGGATCCTCCAGGTGAAGATATAGATCAAAGCACCTTTGGGAAGGCTGAGTTTACAGGAGTGACTCCCTAAACCACTGGGCCACGAAGGTAGCTGCTGCTTCTGCCAGGATTAAGAACTTGCATAAGTAGGAAGCCTCTGAACCAGCTGCAGGATGAACCAGAAACGTTGCACCTCTGCCACAATCTGCACCAACAAAATCCACACCCTGAACCCTGTTTCTCTTCTTCCCTAATGCACTTCTAAATCAAGGTCTCTGATGAGTACTTCTGACAGGCAGAACTAAAGTCATAGGCAAAATCTTAACTGGAGAGGAATCTGGGAAAAATTATTTCTAGGTCTTCAGTCCCTGAAATAGAGGAAGATGTGCTAGAATAGAAAAAGGTGGCATGGGTATTGAGTGAGTCCTTCCAAAGTTTCCATAGTGCTCTCTGAACTATTTCTTCACCTTAAGTTATTTCATAGATAATTAAACGTTGAGAAAGGAAGTAACAATTAAAGCATTAGTGAAATACCCCACAGAAGTTTTTTAAAGCTTACATAAGAGTATGCTTTTTTTCAGGTACTAACATAAAAATATTGTAAAAATCTGAAATCTAATAAGTGGTACTAGAGAGTTAAAAAGGGTATGCATCTTAGCCAATTACATAATTAAAAAATAATAATGGCAAATAACTGTGATTTTTCTATGGTAACAAACTGATGTGGTTTTAGTATTAAGTTGATAAGTTGATTTAGAAAACTATTATTAAGAGCTAGTTATGCATGTCCAGATTTATAATAGAAATGTCTTTTGACTCTATAATCCATTCACTTTATTGTCATTTATTAACTTTTAAAGTTAAAGTATGTTATTAAACTATTCAATTTTAGATGTTCCTACCTGTAAGTGTTTATCCTAAAGGACACAGGTAGCATTTCCTAGTTTCATGTGGATTATTTATTTAGCATTGTCATTTAAACATTTTATATATGAAAGCAATGTGTCTTCAGTATGATTTTCAGCCCATATAGAACAGTAGCAAAGTAGATGCTGTTTCTGTGTTTTGAGAGACTGCTTGAGGCCTCATTTCTCCTGGATATATTAAAGGATAGATATAATGAAATTCCAGCTATGAGTTATATACGCCTTAATGTGATTAATAATCAAATGTCCTTTCTCCTAATAACTATGGGATATAGCTAATTATTATTCTTCACTCTCCTTTATTTAGTGGTGAGTACTTTTGCTGCTTCTAGATGAAAATTCAGAGTCCCATACTCTTTTCTCCTCACTCTAAAGCTCCTCTCTTTGGCAGATAGAGAAGTCCCTCCCACCCGTACCTCTGCAGCGTGGAGGTGGGACTCCTAGTGCACAGATAGCTCTCCCCGAAGACATCATCAGACTCCTTCCTCTCACCTTTTTAAAATCTATATCTGTATCTGTATTTATGTATCTAGTGAGTAAGGGCTTAGGAGTCCTGTTTTATCATTCTCTCCTTTATTCATTCTGTATGTAGTCTCTCATCCAAACAGTTATATTATGTTTTGATACTTCAGCTGAAACTTCCATTTTAGCACCCTATCATACCGTTCAAAATATTAACTGCTAAAAAAAGTCTTTGCCTATATTATTATTTGTCTATTTCACAATTTTGCTTGAGACTGACCCGGAATTATGTTGACACTTTTTGTACTCCCCACATCATGGAGCTCATATAGTAAAGTCTGAAAATGCCCACTGAATACGTTTTGCCCTGACTCAATAGAAAGTGGAAACCTACTCATTTTTATCTTTAGTTTCAGGTGCAGCATTATGTCTCACAGAGCCTGGTAACCCTGGGAAGTTGCAGCTTGTTGAGAAAATCTATAATATCTCTGCTTCTGTCAGAAGTAAACAGCTTCGCTGATGATCTGGGTGCCGTCAATCAGGTACATGTAACCTGAAACTGTAACTCTCATTTATAGGTAATACAGCTGTAGGCTTTTTTTTCTCCTTTTCTCCTCCCCTCTCTTCTTGCCAGGCTGATAGTTATCACCTTATTTCTAATGTATGTGAGTACTATTACTGTGTACTGAAATCATAGAAAGATACTGTCAGAAAATAGTTTTCAAAATAAAACCATCTTATCATCCTAACTCGTATATATCTGCCAGAGGTGCCTTTGGTGACAGCAAAAGAGGAATGGCCTTAAATCTCTGCAAGCAGGCAGCATGTTCCTAAAGCAAAGCAGTGCAAGTGAACAGGAGAGGATGCTAAGTGGAGAATAGCCTCTGACCAGTGGTTCTCTTCTGTAATTGCTCATAGGAATCATCTGGCTAACTTTTAAATATCCCGTTGCCAAGCCACATGCCAGTCCAACTAAGTGAAGGTCTCTGGGGTTAAGAAGCAGGTATTGGTATTGTTAAAGCTCTCCAGGTGATTCCAATGTGCCGCCAAGGTTGAAAACCAGTGCTCTAAGCCTTTTTATCTGGGCAGAGTCCTGTATCACTGCTGAGAAATGTGTCCAAGGAACAAGTCATACCCATATTTTAATGTTGACACTGGTATATTATGAGTTCACTTTGTCAGCTCATTTAATATTTTTACTGTCTCTATGGTAGAATTAAGCACAATTAAAGGCAATTAGAGACAAGTAGAAATTTTTTGGTAAACAGGAAAAAACTTAACAAGAAAAAATATATGTATGTAATTTTAAATAGCTTTTAGCTAAGTACTTACATCTAAGTTCTCTACATTAAATGACAAATCTAAAAATATTATATAATCTAACTGAATTCAGTGTATGACATGGTATATCATCTAGTCACCTGTTTCTCAAGTAACTACTAAATGGTAAACTCTCTTAAGAGCTTTGTTAGACATGAAAAAAGTAATTGTTACTGATCTCAAGGAGCTAAAAATCCATTTGAGAAAGAAAGAAGATACATTTACTAATTAAAAAAAGAGTGAAGTGTTAAGATGCATGGGGCTGTTTGTAGGAGTTCCAAATCAAGACAGTGACCAAGGTAGGTGGCAAGTCCCTGAAGATACTTCATGGAAAAGGAACAACTGAACAATGGATTTGCATGGAAAAGCAGAGGATAACAGGATGTACAGCCACTGAGTGTTTTTTAAAAAAGAATGCCCAAGATTCTGAAGAAAGAAGATGAGGTCTGGCTTTTGAAAACAGGAAGCAATATGGGAAATGAGTTTTATCTAATTAGATTATTTGGAGAATAACGAAGTACAAAAAATAAAATTTTATTTACATATTCTCATTTAGTTTCACAATAACTCCATGATATAGTTAGACTTTTTACCTAGTTTATATGTAACAAGATCAAACCTTAGAGTTGTTAAATAACTTGACCAAGATTGTAGAAAGAACATACACCATAATTCAAACCCAGGCATTCTGATTGTTAAGAACATTAGAATAAGAATAACAATAACACACAACAATAACTAGTTTTGGGCAGGTAATATATGTTAATATGCTTTACATGAATTGTCCTAATCAGTTGTTTCAATAACCCTTCAAAATGTCAGTATGGTTGTTTAAACACAAGGAAACTATTAGTTGGCATTCTTAATAGTAGACAACAGAATCCACTCTAGGCAATTTAAGCAGAAAAGGATGAATGAATAGTTATGGAATTGCTGGGAGGGCTGTACTTTCATGAATGACTGCCATAGCCATACAGCAGAATTTGGCTGCCACGGGAATTGCTGCCTTTGCCATCATGACCAGGAAGCTACCTGCTGAATCAAGAAGATGCTGCTACAGTCGCAGCGTCCAGCAAACAGTCCTGTGCAATGTTCAACAGCCAAATGTATGCCCTGTGTTGTACCTATCTCACTATGTGACTCAGTTTCAACTGTAAAGTTTTTGTTAGCACATTAATTTCGAAACCAACAACATATTCAGAACCCCAGCAGCAAAGAAGTATAGAAAATGTAATTTTATGCTTTTTCAGCTTTTTTGCTCGAAAAAGGTGACAGAATAACTTCTGATATAGTCAGTTCAAGGTGCCCGTCACATATAAGGCTCAGAGATTCAGTAACATGCTAGGAAGAGATAGAGTCAGTGGGAGGGAAGACAGGTAAACGCTATTTATTTGGAACTCTAAATGCAATAAGTCTTCCACAAGCAGCAGGAGAGATAACCACTGTATATAAGAGGTGTTTGTTATCCAGAGGACTCAAGGAAAGATGTAATGTGAAGGCCAGAGTAGACTCAGTGGACAAATTAATGTCGTAAAACTTAGAGATAAGAAAAATGATGTCATTGAGAAGAATTAGGTGACTGGGAAGGAATGCTTGTTTGAGAAGAGAAAAAAATTGAATTTGGGTGTATTATATTTGAGGAAACATTGATGTAATCTAAATGTAGGCAGATGGAATTATGAAATTAAAACTTGAGAGGAAGGAGAGGGACATACATAAAAATTTGGGAGGTGTCACTATATGACAATCATGAAATCATAGTCAGAAAGAGAATAGAGACTCAGAGAAAAGTAGGGCGGAATGGGAGAGGCAGTTGTACAAACAAGGAAAGAAGACAAGCTTTATTTTAGTGTGTATATTAGATGTCTGTTAGAAATGTCAGGCTTAAATAGTTTTAGATTTTTGTCAGATATAAAAACTAATGTATACTTATATATAATAGGGATTTTGCAGAAAATTTATAAATAAAAATATAAATACTAAAGATCATACTACACATTCTGTCTTTCCAGTGTTCTTTATATCTGTTAGAGTTTTTTGCTTCCCAGAATATTTGTATCATACAATACATGGTTTTGTATTCTGCTTTCTCATGTAACATTATATCATGAGCACTTTTCACATGAGTTTTAATTTTCTAAGGAAGTGTGATTTTTAGTGACTCAGTTGTATCTTAAGTTATTCATGTTCATTGATTTATTTGGTCTTATTGTTGGACGTATAGACTATTGCTCTATGAATTGTGACCTCTGATATAAAACTTAACATTAATCATTTTCTGAAACTGATTCATGGAGATACATTGCAGAACTTGACTTGATTGCATTCATTGTATTCGGCTCTTATTGTTGATATGCATCCCCAACTTGCATATTTAGATGATTTTTTTTAAAAGGCATATCAAAATATCTAATTATTTTTTAAAAATAAATTTCTTGGAACTTCGGAAAAAGAATTTTAAAAAACATGAAAGTTTAACTGTTAACAGAGTAGTCTTCCCAATGTAAACAGCTAAAAATCTGGATAAATATATGAATTAGTGAATTTCAGACAGTAGGCAGTACAGAATTGTGATTCCTGAGATAAGGGAAGTAAACAATGTGAGCTCCATGATTGCCTTGATTTTTGGCTTGGAGGCTCTTCCTGACCTGGACACAGGTGGAGCCCAACCAGGTCACAGCAGTCTCACTAAACTAAGGACACAGATTGCAGTTCACGAGTACTGATATAGGTGGAATTTCTGGGCCAGGGTCATGGAGAGAAGAAAGCTGGGACAAGGAAGAGCTCCAGAAATTCTCACAGTGGTTTGCTTGATTATTTCTTCACTACTAAGCTGCACATTTGCAGAAGGACATGTCACAAGGCCAAGCAAAGAAAAACTACTCAGGAAAGAACTACTACAAGGAAGCTGTGAGCTGAATAATGGCCAGAGCTCACACAGTGCTTCAGACCATCCAAATTCTGTCCAGCCATGATGGCAAGACCTTATTTAATACCGTGAGCATTCAATAGAGACCCTAAAAGGCTACATCTTATCAGTATTGTAACTTCTAGTCCAAGGGTAAAGGCTACGCTAGACTGATTCTAACAAAGCCTAGAAACAACCCTTGACAGATCCTGCTGATTCACAACTGGGTTACCTGCATGCTGGAACAACATAATATGGAAATTCAACCACACGGTGTTGTTAACGTCTAGTATCCATTCAGAAATTACAACATGTGACGAAGAAAGAATGTATAACCCATAGCCATGATAAAAAAAAATCCATTAATAGAAATAGACCCAGAAATGACAGAAATAATGGAATTAGCATACAAGTATCAAGACAGCTATTATAAATAATGTTAAAAGAAAACATCAATAATAAAGGAGAAAAACAGGAAATTTCAACATAAAAATAAAAGCAAGATACATCTACTAATACAGCTGTTTACATCTACTAATAAAGCTGTTAAAAACATAATAGGTAAATATAAATATGTAAAAATATTTGCTAATAATCTCAACAATTTAGATTAAACACATTCCTTGAAAGATAAAAATTACCAAAACTGACTCAAGAAGAAATAGAAAATCTAAATTACCCTATGCTGATTAAATATATTTAAAATTATAACCCTCTCCAGAAAGACAACTCCAGGACCAAATGAATTTTATCATACATTTAAAGAAGAAATAATACCAGTCTTACACAAACTCTTTAGAAGATATAGGAGTAGAGAATATTTCCTCACTCATGTTATTAAACCTGCATTACCTCAGTATCAAAACCAAAAACAAGGAAAAAAAAAAAACTCAGACCAATATCTCTCCTGAACATGAAAGTAAAATCCTCCATATTAGTAAATAGAATCCAGCAACATATAAAAAGAATAGTACATGATGATCAAGTGGGATTTATCCCAGGAATACAATATTGTTTTCACATTCATAAAACAATCAATATAGTTCATAATATTATCACACTTATAAAGAAAACCCATATGATCTCAGTATATGCAGAAAAGGCAATTGGCAAAATTTACCACCCATTCATGATATTTTTTAAAAAAAACTAGCAAAATAAGAATAGAAGGAAACTTTCTCAACATGATAAAAGTTTCTTCTATGAAAAACCTACAGATATACCCAGTGATGAAAGACTGAGTGCTTTTTCCCCAAGACTGGAAACAAGTAGGGATGTCCTTGCTCATCACATCTATTTACCCTTTGCAGTAAA